CTCCATGTGGCCCGAGCCGCCGCCGCCCCCGCCTCCGCCCGCGCCGCCGCCCGGCGCGCTGCAGCAGCTGCTCGCAGTCACCTCCGTCTTGGGCACCACCTGCACGCCCACGCACGACGACGCGCTGCTCCGGGCCCCGCTGCTCCGCGCCAGCGGCGACATCTGAGCACACCGCACGCCGCATAGGAGCAACTGCGACCATTCACACACGCCGTCAATCAACACTCAGGGCACTCCTAAACAGACACCTCAATAACAAAGCAATACAATCTTTTAAACTGTTCGCGGGAAGCAGGAGCTCTTAGAAACTCGTTCTACAGAGATATGCTCAGAAATGAATGTGTTATAAATTATCATAGTTAACTTTTAGCACGTAATTGGCAAATTCAAATTAGGAATGGCTTATCCTAAATATGACATACTTTTCATTTCTCAGACGTTTATTTTTATGACATATTACTCCGGAAATCATTGCATTTACTGACAGTTGTTGGTTTAGAAAACAAGTTGAAATAATTGTATTAAGTTATGAATATTAAAATAGTGAAAATGTGAGGTGCTGCAGCGTAGGTACATATGACAAGTAATGCATTTGTTCAATCCGAGGCTTCCGCGGCCAGTGTCATGTAAACGCTCTCGGCTGTCTGGGTGACATCGCGTCGACGACACTGATGCAGACGATTGCACCATCCTACCTGCGCTGCACTCCAGCCCTGAAGAAGACCACAATATGATGTTGGCATCACACGTCGGCATCAATGTCCTCGTCCCGGCGTCACCCGGAAAGCCATTGTACTCGGCCCATTTACTCAACCAGTTCCTTCACACTTCTTTATTTTAGTATTGAACATCCGTGCAAACAAATTCATCTACGAGAGTTGCAAATAAAGTGACAGCAACTAAGAAAAGGCCATAAGGTGGCATTGTCTTGATTTTCGATGCCAAAGTAATTAAATATATCTATCAATGCAATCACTGGCGAAATTCGAGACCTTCTGCGGAACGTGTGGGTGCCTCGCAATACCGTCAATACGATTGTCTCAGTGTGACCTAGTAATAGAGCGACATGCTATCGGAGAACCTATTGACTATGGGGAAATACGATGATTCTATAAGGTTCTTGAATTGCCGGGAACAATTCAAAGTAATTGTAACTCACATAGGGAAAATATAGACAATGCTCAGAACTTCCTAATGCCAAATGAGCAGTATAGCAGTCAGTTATAACGCTTCCTGGCATCGATTATTATCATGCGAGATTGAAGATGGATCGAACCCGAAGCACGAGTTTCAACTATACAGTGCCATTCTTTGGCGAAATGATTAGGAAACCGATAAGACGTATTTTACTTAGTTGGACAAGGTTCGTCATCACGTACTATAAAGATTAAGGACTAATTCCAATTTCTATGGAGAAATGAGGAGCTTATTTCCCAAGTTCCATTTCCGTCTGTTTTGTTGTTTTAATACCAATATATTCTTACGTCAGCCATCACACTGCCTAATATTGTGTCAAGAAAGTCAGTTTATTCCACGTTAAGGAATACTTGAAAACCGTTGAATTTTCCACCGAATTATAAAACTCAATATAAATACTTTCCTCTCCTCAAAAATTGTGTTTCATGGAGATACGATACTGAGGGAAAAAGCTCTTCCAATTCTTAGACTGTCCATTGGTGATCTACAAACATGACGTCTCAAACTAACTTTCTTGCTTATCGACAATGGATGGTGGCCCTCCAAGTAATAAAATCATTGACACATCAAGACCGTCACGTTACGAAAGAGCGTTCTGATATTTGGTATGATAATCTATCGTTGTCTCAAGAATTACGTAAATCATTGTGATCTCCATGAATTTTTGTCACGGAACCCTTGCATTTTGATCCGTGCTTGCTATCCTACCGCGGTGAACCCGACTTAGAGCGAGGGCATGTTGACTGTTTCATGTACTCACTTTGATAACATCAGTACATACTACAAATACTACTATCTCTAAGATAAAACTTCAACCTATGTCGCTCACTGCCCGGTAGTACTTATGCTGAAATATCGTCCTCACAGTGTCACCACTACTTTGTTTTCAACCCTCATATAATCTCTGTACGTTGTAGAGAACGGGACATGCAATGTACAGCACTATTCGCATGCACAGACATAACACTTGAAATGCGTCGCGGCGTGCCACACGGGTGCCAACCTTGCCGGGGCTGTCGATCTGCAGCGAGTCGGGCGTCTTGGGCTGCGCCTTGACGGGCAGCAGGCCGGGCGTCTTGGAGGTGGGCGGGGGCCCCACGCTGACGAAGTAGGGCTGCGGGAGCGTCTGCGGCGAGGAGGGCGCGTAGCAGCCTACCGCCTTGAGGTCGGCGCCGCCCGGGGACATCTGCTGCGCCTGCGGGGGCAGGCAGCCGCCGCCGGGTGCGCCGCCCACTGCAAGGAGGCAGGAGGCGGGTGCAGGGCGCGCAGGGCGGACGCCGGGCAGGTGCGCGTGGGCACGCGAGTGGGCACGCGCGCGGCGCCGAGCTTGGTCCGCCCCGGCCACGCCCCCCGTTGGCCGTGCGTCGCCACCGGACTTGTTCGGTGTGCCTTATTGACTTTCGTACCTCTCTTGTTTTCACTCCTGTCATACATGTGAGAAACCCTGTTCCCTAATCGCGAAGTATGTACGCTACTTTCTTCCAATGGCCTCCTGTATATTAAGTATTGTGTTAAACTTTTGAATGTGGCCCGGCGGAGGAGCAGGCTCATTGGCCTGAGCCATGCCATCACTAAAGACATTTATTCAGTTAATTTATTCCCCCCCCCTTTGTATGTCTCAAAATGCCTCGTCGATTCTGGTCAGTGGCTCAGGTCATAAAGAGTACAGCGGACTGCATCTTGATTTTATTCCTCTCACGTGATAACCATTTTGTGATGTAAAATAGTGTTTGAAATTCGTCATTAATATTGTTTTGTTCTTCGTCTAGGTACCTAAAGAAGGTGAGCAGAGATGGAGAAGCTCTAAGAGCAGTCTTGATATTACACGTAAAAAATCATTTTCTATGATATGAAAATAAACTTCCAGTGCAAAATCTTTTGTTAAATGTTAGTGACGTTTTGATGTCCGGTGGTCAGAATTCTTTTCGACTACGAGAAAGTATCAGGTTTTGATTGTGTGTCAATTTTTTTTCTCGAATTTCATTCCACATTCCTGGAGAATGTAGTGATCAAATTATTTCTAGTTATCTGCAGAGGTGAATCATTGGACGAATTATGTTTCAATAACGTTCGGCTAGTTCTAACCACATAATCGTCTGGGTTTTTAATTATTAGTTTGCGAGCTAGCAATAATAATCAGATCTCTTCGAATTAATTTGTTTTTTTTCTGTTGGACAAACGATAAATCTTTGGTTTTATTACTGCACAAAATAGAGGCACTTCAAATAAAAATCTTAATTTTTGAGGAGAATCATGCGTAAATGAACTAATCAAATATGTGTCTTTATTATTATTATTTTTTAATTTATTTACAATCGTTTATTACTTTGTCATATTCGAACAACTAATAATATATATCAATCGTACGTCGAAAATGACTATCGATTTGATGTTAGAAGGAAAAATTGCTAAACAATATATTTATAAATTGTAATTAATAATATAAAAGAATAATAAAATAGAATGATATTCATAAAAGTAATCTAGAAATTGTTAAAATTACCTATGACTCCCGGTGACTACGTATATTGTCAATATGTCAACGATCTTGTATAACAATTAATTTTTTAACACATGCATAAAAATGATGCAAGTCTAATTGTTATGAAGCTCGTTTTTGAACGAAAGATTTAAAAAAAGTAGATAATATAAAATGTTATCGTTTTCACTCTAACGGCTTGTGAATAAATGTGTTAGTTGAATTAATTTACCTTTCTTGTATTAGTGAATGTCTTGTGATTATGTTATATTTTTCTTCATGAATATAAAGACAAGGCCAAGAGAAAGTAATATTAGTATTTTACCTTCCGTATCCATTTCTTACAAGTACTAAGTGAGTAATACGACGGCATGTAGAGAGGCGAAAGTTGTCCGTTTGAAGAAATGAAACGTTAGTAGGCGAGCGAGCGGCAACGAGGGCGGCGAGGACCGGTCGGGCGACGTACCTGAGTGGTGCGCGAGCGCGAGGCGGGCGGCCATGGAGGCCGCGTGGTGCGACGGCGTCGGCTGGTGCAGGTGGTGCACCTGGTGGTGCGGTGATTGCAGGTGGTGGTGGTGGTGGTGTTGTGCGGCCGCGGCGGCGGCGGCAGCGGCGGCGGCGGCGGCGGCGGGGGCGCGGGCGGCGGCGTGCCGAGCCTCCCGCGCCGCCGCCTTGTTCGCCGCCGCGATGGGGCAGCCCGAAAGGCTGCGGTGCGAGTTGCGGTTGGAGGAGACGTGGCCCCGGCCGTTGCATCCGGGCGTCGGGCACTTGAGGATCGTCTCGTGCATCGCCAGGACTTGACGGCGGCGGTGGCGGTGGCGGTGGCGACGGCGCGCGGTGGTGGTGTGGTGGGTGGTGGAGGGCGATGGGCGAGCGGGCGGGGCGAGGCGAGGCGAGGCGAGGCGAGCGGGAGCAACAGAACAGCCAGAGTCATCGCCGTCCCTCTCGAGAGAGCGCGTTGCGCGCGCTTCATGTATGTGAATTGATGTACTATGTATGTCACTGTTTATGAAGGTTTAGGTGTGTACAAATGTATCTAATATGCATGTGTCTATAACGTGTGTATCATTATGAGTTTCTTTTAATGTTTATAAAGTGTAATTTTTATAAAAAGTTGAATTGACGAGAAACAAATCCAACTCTTCACTTACCCTGACACAGTTAACAAAACCCTAAAATCTCTAAGTAATCTTCAGATAATAGAAATGGTTTCGATTTAAAAAATTCATTAATCAACGCAACCCGAAGTGTGAGCGATTCTTTGACAAAGATATTTAAAACTAATTTAATGTTAGTTCAAATACAAAAAATTAAAATAAAAATAAGGACGTGTTTGTAAATTCGCGAGATGAATTCAAGATAGTTTGCGACAAGCGAATAAGTTAAGTCTGAATTGTCTTTTGCGAAATATGGGACAGAAAGGAAGATAGTTGAAACCGCCATAAAAATATTGAAATATTATTTGCGGACCACACCATTTAACTCTTACGTTTACTTCATTTTAAGTAACAAATACCTAAAATCGAAAAGGGTGTTATTAAAATGATGTTGCCAAATGATATTTAATTTGAGAGCTAAATTATCTCTAATATTGTTGTAGTGTAGTAATTCGTGTTAATGTCTTCCTGCGTTCATTATCAAAGAAAGTATATTTTGACATAAATATCTCCGCAAAAGGGACATTTGTTAATTTCACGCCAAAAGAAAGAAAAGGAATCGTACACAACAAAACTTGTAAGAAAAACCAAGGGGCGGGTAGAGAGTACAAAAGAATAAATCAATTATAATAACAAAATCATTAAAATGCATCCAGCACTTATTTGCTTCACTCGGAATAGGGATCTCATTTGTAGTAAATGGGTTTCCTAGTTAATTTAAAATAATTTTTAATGTGAGATTTAAGGAAGTCATGGGAAAAGTGCAAAGAAATCATCAAGGAACACAAAAATCGCAGAAAATAAACGTAAACGTAGAAAACAAGCGAGAGAAAGTTTTCCACGGGAAGGTGAACAGTATATCAGAGTAAGGTTGTAGGAAAAATTAAAAGCTCCAAGACGAACAGAAACAAAGAAAGAGGCGTGTACTGACCAGACACTGAAGGGGGCTGTGTATTCTCTCGAACCGCGAGGCTCTTCCGACAGTTCTGTGCATGCCCTGGCTTGCGGCGGGGGAAAGGAACGGGGAAATGGTTTCGAGATGTACAGGACACAACATGGCAGAAAGACCAACCAACACTAGATGCTACGAGATGTGAGAGATAAAGAAAACAAAAAAATAAATAAAAAGAGAATTGTATAAAACTCGAAAACAAGATCTCTCTACCCCGCAAAATAAAACACACATTTTAATAAAAACGTATTTACAGTAAAAGTAAAAAAAATATCAATAAGAGCAACGTAAGAAAACGCAAGGCTTGCCGCCCAATACAAGGAGAAAAGCGACCGCGGCCAGGAGCCGTGGAGGCTGCCTGCGAAGCTACTCTACAAGAAGAGCGCGCTACAGGGCACTTGCAGTGGCGGCACTTACTCTCAGGGGTCACCTTGTCCTTCCGTGGGCACCCGGAGAGGCTGTAACACACACATCCACGTATTGTTTCTAACATGATACAATGCAAAAGGGCATCTCCTATTTTACACTTGGACTTTTAAAATTTATTTTGATTATCCAAAATTACATCCAAAATTATAAACTTTCACCACCTGGTATTTTTATTTTAGCAATGAACAAAAAGCATATTTATATCTTTATTCTTACTTAAATTGCATTCTCGTACCATTTTTTTCTACGTATTATTTTAGAGATCTTGGGAGAAATTATAATATTTAGGATTGTAGTAAAATCATATGCATACAAAAAACTTTTTAAATCGCTAAACTATCAAAAGTATATTATTACCTGCGATGGTGAGAGTAGAGTCCTGTTACATGCCCCTGGCCATTACAACCTGGAGTAGGGCACTTGCTACCCTCTGAAACAAAGAAAACAATATCTTGTCTTATTCTTCAAAAAGGAATTGTTCTCCAAGACCATTTGAATAATATGTATTGTTATTCGTTTGGAAAGAATAGCCATCATAATTTCTATGACAGAATTGGCTGATTATTTTCTGCTGTTTTTACTGTTTATATCAAAAACCAAAATGTCTCACCCAACAAAAAAATCAATGGACTTATTAGTAGAGTGTCTTAGTAAATCAAGAGTTTCTCGAAGACACTTAAAGTTCTTTGGCATGAAGCACAAGCATTTACAAAAGTGTAAATGTTATAATGAAAAGATGAATGCATTATCAAAACGTGCAACATCCTTTACGAGCTCATGTGAGAATCTGCGAAATATATGTGCCTTAAGTGTTTTCGAATACAGTTAAGATTGCTAGATATTTAAATAAATATGGTTATTGAAATATTTTTAATTGCATTTTATAGTAGAGGCCAGACGGCATTCACTGAATTTATGCCACAATCATTTATACATCTCAATTTTTTTCTGATTTCTTAAAAATTCCTTGGTGGGAACATTTTTAACGTACTACAAAGGATAAGATAAGCCCCTTAGTACTGAATTGTGTGATGCCCTCCAGTTCTTCTCAGTTCGTGCGGTGTATCACCGGCCAACAGCTTGACCTTGGCGTGTGAGGAGCAATCGCGCCGCCCCTCCGCGCCAAAAACCCTCGAAAACAGCTTCGGGTCGTCGAAGCGCACGCGGGCCGAGGGCGTAGAGGAAGCCGCAGGGCTCATTCACCGCCCGGGAAGGCAGCGGGTGGCAGGGCGGCGACGGGCGGGGTGGGGCCGG